TGTCTGAGTGTGTTGGTCTGGAATTCTCTATGTCAATGTGTGTGTGCCTTGGTCTGTGTGTCCACGTTTATGTGGTTGTGGGTCTTTCGGGATGTGTGTGTATGTGCGTGTTTCTGGATGACCCTGTCTCTTAAGAGTTTGTGTTGTACATGTCTGCCTGTGTCTGTGTCTATGAAACTGAAACAATCCCTCCTTTGTCTGTAGTTTTGATTCCTGCAGTCTCGCAGTTAACCACAATCTGAAAATGCTACATGGAAAATTCTAGAAATATGTAATTCATAAGGACCCCAGGTTGGTGCTCATAGCCTTCAGGATGGGCTCCCGTCCCAGCAGAGACGCCCCTGAAGACTGTGCGGTGGGGTGACAGAGATGAGGCCAGAGAAGAGAGGCACGAGGGGACAGACAGCGGAGGCGATGGGAATGCTATACACAGGCCAGGCGCCCCAAAGCACGAGTCCCACTGCTGACCCTATTCTCAGCCCTCACTCACGCCCTGCTGTTGGGAGACAGGGTTTCACTGTGTAGTCCAGGCTTGCCTCAAATTCCTGGTCCTCTTATTACCTCAGCGCCCTGCACGGCTGAGGTTGCTTGCACTGCTCTGCTTGGCCAACTCATGAGTCTGTGTTGTTCTGGGATCCCATCTCGCATCGTTTACCTGGGATATGTCAGTTATCCGTGGTACATGTGACCCTCCCCCGAAAGTCTCTCAGTAGCTGTCTCTCTTGTCAAATCAGCCAGTACTTGTGTTCAGATAGCCTCTATTTTACTTACGATCAATTTTCCTAAGCACAAGTCTCTTGACGCTGGCAGTCTTATTATAGTATGTTGTAATTGTTCTATTTTACTATTACTTATCACTAGCCTCCTGCTGTGTCTAATTTATAAATTAAATTTAACATAGCTATTCATGCTTGGGGGAGGGAACCATGATGTGTCTAGTGTTTAGTACTGTCTATATTCTCAGGCATCCACTGGGGTTCTAAGAAGGTGTCCCTCCTAGGACACAGGCGACATCTCTGTCCATCTGTGTGTTTTGTGTCTCGGGTGTCTCTTATGTGTACATCTGTGTGTGTCTTCTGCCTGGTCTTCTAAGCTCACAGTGGTCTTTGTGTGTGTGCCCGTGCAGCCCTGTCTGTGTGCTGCCCATGCGTGCACGTGCGTGTGTGTGCCCGTGCAGCCCTGTCTGTGTGCTGTCATGTTGACCTGTTACACCTCGCTGCCCATGCATGCACGTGTGTGTGTGTGTGTGTGTGTGTGTGTGTGTATGTGTGTGTGTGTGTGTGTGTGTCTGTGTGCACATGGGTGTATATGCATTGTGTGAAATGAGATGCAGCGGGCTGTTGAGTAGCTAGTCCAGCGCTTTCCTGATGGGGGAATGTACTTCTGTGTATGTTCATCTTATTGATTGTTGAATAAATTACCGTTTGGCCATTGTGACAGCAAGTTAGGTGGGACTAGGAGTCGAGGAGGATTCTGGGAAATGTAGTAAAGAAGTCATGATCCGCAGGAAGTGACACAGCAGGGAGACTCCTATATAAACAAGGGCAAGAAGGAAGTGGCCCCTCTGTCTTCCTCCAGAGTCACCATGTGAGCCCGGGATGAGGACACCAGTGGAAGGCATCCTCTATAAGATAAGTCATATAAAATATATAGACTTATGATAATTAAGACTGAGCTAACAGATGAGAATCCTAGTCATTGGCCAAGCAGCATTTGTACCTAATGTAAGTCTCTGTGTGTTATTTGGGGCCCTAACTCGGCGGGCAGAACTCGGGCGGCTGGCGGAAAGCGCCCACGTGGCGGTAGGGCTCGGGTGGCTTTTGGCGGAAAGATTTATCGCAACACTTTC